TACAACAGTAGCCAGGTGGTGAAGACAAGCAAAAAGAAACTAAATAATGAAGTCACTTGCAATCTTCACTTGCACTCTCCGCTACCTGCAACGTCACTTGCAATCGACACAAATCGTGCGTGTTGCCAATGGAGGCAAAACGCTGTGGTGGTGATTAAACGATTAAAACTAATGTAGTACCGTAACTTACAGGGTCCTGCAAGTCATCTGTAGGAGAAAAAGACAAGACCCACAAATCTGTGGCCACAGAACAGCAGAATATGAACGCAATGTGCAAAGTCTTGGCTTATACGACTTATATAATATGGCTTAATGTATTAAAATGCTATCAAAATATCAAATTCAATATACAGTTTATTAATATAATGAATATGTATATAGTATTTTCCTCTCATACCGCAAAACGTGGCATAATGGACTAAGATGATAAAGACAAAACTCAATACGCTCCTCTTCATTATTAAAATATACATAACTCATATGTACAGGCAAGCAGGTGAGCCCAGAATAAACGCAACGTGCAAAGTTTTGCGTTAAGCGTTTATCCACTGACTACAGATCTTTTATATCACTGTCTTTGTCCATTTTACGTGTTTTATTTGTAATGATTTTCTATGGGAGGAAAATGTTTTAACGTGCAATTTAACATTTAATTTTGCGTTCTGGGCCCGTCTGCTTGCCTGTACGGAGTTGATCCTTTTAATAACACTTAATGCATTTCATAATGCACGTTCATATTTGCTGGTCTGTGTATACTTTGAGTCAACAACAAGACTCAATACTGAATACTGAATTGTCTTTATCATCTTAGTCCGTTATTATGCCACATTAACCATTTTGCTGGAGGACCAGTGAAAGTTGGCACATTGTGTTCATGGTCATCTGCTTGCCTTGTAGTACATTAAATAATAATATATCAAATTTGATCTTTTAATTGCACGTAATGTATCTTAATACATTAAGCCATATTACTTAAGTTTTTCTACAGGAGAAAAATGCTTAACGAGAGACTTTGTGCATTGCGTTCATATTCTGCTGTTCTGTAGCCATGGATTTGCGGGTCTTGTCTTTTTCTTGCAGGACCCCGTACGTTACAGTACTAAATTAGTTTGAATCGTTTAATCACCACCACAGCGTCTTGCCTCCATTGGAAATGCACGATTTGTGTCGATTGCACGTGACGTCACAGGTAGCGGAGAGTACAAGTGAAGATTGCAAGTGACATTGTAATTTAGTTTCTTTTTTCTTGTCTTCCCCACCTGGCTACTGTTGTAAAATGTTGAGAGATTCAAACAAAAAGTAATCAATAAATAGAACAAAATAAAAAAACTGCAAGTGACATCACTTGCGGGAGCGCAAGTGTCTGAGAGTGCAAGTCTGAGAGAGTGCAAGTGCAAGTCTGCAGCCAGACCCTTCTCCAAATTGACGTGGTTCATCGAGTGGGAAGGAGGCAGCAGCAGTTTTAACATTAATTGACATGACATCTGACGCACAGATGCCATTGGCACATGCCACTATGCTCAGTGACACTTGTCAGTGGACAGTGGCATGTGTCACTAAAACCTGTGACACATGTCAAAGGACTGCGTCTTGTGTCAGTTGCTGCGGTGCGTGTCGCACCTTCGGTAGTGTCTGACACCTGCTGCTGGGTGTTGCTGCAAAATGCAGATTGCGTGACACGCACTTAACGGCAAAACAGTATTGAATTAATTAACAGTATGTTGCTGTCAAACATACATTTTATTAAATATCGGAGTACATTTGTACAAGAAATATTGAGTTCCTATATTAAGATTAAAATGTGTCTTATGCCCCTTGATGAGTATTTTTCATTGTAAGTTTATTTCCAGTAGCCAGTTCCAGTTTTGTGCAATGCATTCAAATACGTAAATACGCGTTTTTTCATTTTTGCATAGATTTGACAGTTCAGCTGTCAGAGACGCTGAAGACATGAACATATATGAAGCATGTTTGTTTGGATCGTGATTAAACACAGTGGTTCTGCAACTGTTTCATGCGTTCTTAATCATATAAAAGGCACAGTCAGGGAACAAAACGTGATAAACTGTGAAACCGCCAGAATCCTAAAAAAAAAAACCATGATACAAAAACCGTGATACGGATTTTCGGTCAAGCCGCCCAGCACTATCTGCCATTCCACGAACTGTAAAGTTTGAGTGCACTGTCAGACATGCACATGTAGTTATGATGCACATTCTGTAAACGGCTATTAAAATGTAATCTTACAACAGTTTCAGGATGTATTATTTACCCATTTCAAACACAATGTTGCTTATTTTACAGTTGATCAACTGATGTAACTTTGTGATACCTGTTTTTTCCCCAAATGTATGTTTCAGATGCTGTGGAGGCTCCTGTGCTGACTATGAACTCAAACGGGTCCAGCAGTGACTCCTGTACTGTGAACTTCACATGCAGAGCTCATGAGCTCATGATTGACTCTAGCTATCAGAACAACAGATGCTCACGAGAGGAAGTGACATCACAGATCAACACTCTCATCCTGGACTGCAGTGAAGAGTCCATCATCTGTAACCATAGCAACCCTGTCAGCTGGAAAGAAGACAGAATAAACATCACACAGCGCTGTGACGATAACAAAAGTACCTGACCAAACACACACACACAATGCACATTAACACTCAAATCAAGTATTTCATTTTGGTTTACCAAATCTAGTCTAGTAAACTCAGAAAACCTGAGCTGTCAGCTGTAATTGTTAATGATATACGTCTCATTTTCCAGAGAACAACTCAAAGAATGAGACTGATTCATCTCTCCTGTGGCCATCCCTCTCAGTAGTTGCTTCGGTGGCAGTGATCATTTTGATATGTGTTTCAGTCTTTCTGTACTGCAGGCATAAAAAAGGTATGTCCATGTTGCCTCACATACATTCTCTATGAAAAACTGATCTCTGTTCATAAATTTAATCAATTAAGTACTTTGCTGTTTTGTAAAGTAATTAAAAAGAATGATGAAAATATATTTATGCCATTTCTTCTCTTTTAGTCAGTATTAATACACAGGCTTAATTCTAATTGTTAAAATTGCAATTTGCGATTTAAACTGCAATTTTTAAAACAAATTAACAAAAACAACATAATAATTAGAAAGTTAATGACAAGATAATAATATACAGTCACAAAGAATTGTTTATTATACATAATCTGTGCCAATGTCGCAGACCATAATTATTTCAGCATCACTTGGCCATCACTTGAGTGTAGTTTGGGCTGCTCCTCAATGCATCCTATAAATGCTGTCATATGCATGCACACATCCAGTCTGTTTTTCTTCATTATTAACATGCAATTATATAGGAGGTGTTGAATTTTACAATTAGCTCCTTGCATTCTTTCTTATGTAGCCTAACAAGTTAAGTAAAACTATGAATATGCAATATAGCAGATAAATTTAGCAAAATGCTCCTATTTCTAGTAATTTTTTCTAGCTGACTGATGAGCTTATGGACGCTGAATGGTTATTCTGAGGTAAATATTGTTACATGGCATTGTTTACAAGCTTGACACGTTTTCCGCAGTTTGAAACACTGAATGAGCTATTACATGAGATATTTCAGTAAGATGTACTGTATCTTATAAAATACCTTTTGATGTCCATTGTCCACTCATGTTTATTTCGTACTATAGTGGTAAAGAGAAAGATATGATGGGTTCATGTGCCGCTTGAACTGAGGCACTAAAGCGAGCGCTAATGCCGCATTTAAGAGCACCAAAACTTCACTCGCAATTTGTCGCAAATTAATATTTTCAGTCACGTTTTAGTTGCAGTCTGAAGCCCTGCATACTATCATACTACTCTTACTATTTCTGCAGTATCCAGTATGTATACTGTGCATAGTATGCACATTTTCTGTACGCATGGAATGCCCGGATGACCTACTATATTTGCCAGAATATGCTAAATATAACTCAAGTACACTGAAATCAGTACAGAAGCTGTGTTTGGAATGGCATACTACCATACAACTCCTACTATATTGCAGTATGCAATGTGTATACTGTGAATTGTATGTGAATTTTCTTTATGCGTGGAATTCCCGGATTACCTGCTACATTTGCTGAAATCTGATGTATGCATCTGTAGACACTGCATGGGATACTGTTTCCCACAACGCAATGCGCTCCATGTGACGTTTCATCTTCAAATGCATGAGTGAACTGGAGGCGGGGGATAGTAATTATAAATGTAACACTTTTATATGTACATGGATTATGAAAACTTAAATACAAGGAGCTCTAAAAGATTTTTTTTACAGCTCTTTTGCTTTAAATCATCTATTAATGTTAAATCCACAAATAAAATATTAATGTCTCAACTGCATGTCCGGAAAAAAAAATCCAGCAGAGATTGATTTTATTATAGTTATTTTCAAGGCTTTCAATGTACACTCATAAAAAAAATAACGTTAAAAATGTTTATTAGTAGTTCTAACAAATAAGTTTTTGCTCAAAGCTAACCAAAAATAAAAATATTTTTTTTTATAATTTCCAAGAGAGACCTGGTGTTGTTTCAAAACAAAGGGAAATATATATCGGCTATCAGCCAAAATATTTCGAAAAATATCGGCATATCGGATATCGGCAAAAATCTAATGCCGTGCATCCCTAGATCTGATGGGTTGCTTAATGTCTTACAAAAAAGCAAGATTAAAAGGTAAGAGGTTAACTTTTATTATATAAATTGGGGGGTAAAACAACACCAGAGAGTGCATGCAGATAAACAACATTTTCAGCAAGCACAGTTTATTTTTAGTGAATATGTTTTTCTTTAATTCTCCTACAATTCTGGTGTCAAAAATCTATTTACTTTTTGCTGCAGAAGACTGGGGCAGGACTGCTGTGATGGTCTTGCAATCTAAAGATGGATCTTGAAATATGGCACAGTGTGGTATAGTAATATCAGAGATGCTCTACACCAGCCTACACACTATACCAGCTTCTGTCTATGCGTGAGAGCTCACGATCTGCCACAAAGAACATGCAAACTCACTTTACTGTGTTTGAATACAGAATAGCTCTACATCACAACAGGGCTCCAGACAAAAAAAAAATCACTTAAGGAGACATTGGCTAGACAGTATAAGAAACAAAAAATAGACAAATAATTTTTTAAGTGCTACAGATTAAACATATTTATTTATTTTTTAAACACCTTAACATTTCAGTCATACTGTCATGTGTTTATGTCTCATCTTTTCTTGTCTTTATCTGCATTTTAATCCAACTTGTAGATGTCCTGGGAACTAAGGTTTACTTAAATTGGGAACTAAATGTCTTTTCCAACTTGAAAACTATACAGTCACAAAGAATTGTTTATTATACATAATCTGTGCCAATGTCGCAGACCATAATTATTTCAGCATCACTTGGCCATCACTTGAGTGTAGTTTGGGCTGCTCCTCAATGCATCCTATAAATGCTGTCATATGCATGCACACATCCAGTCTGTTTTTCTTCATTATTAACATGCAATTATATAGGAGGTGTTGAATTTTACAATTAGCTCCTTGCATTCTTTCTTATGTAGCCTAACAAGTTAAGTAAAACTATGAATATGCAATATAGCAGATAAATTTAGCAAAATGCTCCTATTTCTAGTAATTTTTTCTAGCTGACTGATGAGCTTATGGACGCTGAATGGTTATTCTGAGGTAAATATTGTTACATGGCATTGTTTACAAGCTTGACACGTTTTCCGCAGTTTGAAACACTGAATGAGCTATTACATGAGATATTTCAGTAAGATGTACTGTATCTTATAAAATACCTTTTGATGTCCATTGTCCACTCATGTTTATTTCGTACTATAGTGGTAAAGAGAAAGATATGATGGATTCATGTGCCGCTTGAACTGAGGCACTAAAGCGAGCGCTAATGCCGCATTTAAGAACACCAAAACTTCACTCGCAATTTGTCGCAAATTAATATTTTCAGTCACGTTTAGTCGCAGTCTGGAGCCCTGCATACTATCATACTACTCTTACTATTTCTGCAGTATCCAGTATGTATACTGTGCATAGTATGCAAATTTTCTGTACGCATGGAATGCCCGGATGACCTACTATATTTGCCAGAATATGCTAAATATAACTCAAGTACACTGAAATCAGTACAGAAGCTGTGTTTGGAATGGCATACTACCATACAACTCCTACTATATTTCAGTATGCAATGTGTATACTGTGAATTGTATGTGAATTTTCTTTATGCGTGGAATTCCCGGATTACCTGCTACATTTGCTGAAATCTGATGTATGCATCTGTAGACACTGCATGGGATACTGTTTCCCACAACGCAATGCGCTCCATGTGACGTTTCATCTTCAAATGCATGAGTGAACTGGAGGCGGGGGATAGTAATTATAAATGTAACACTTTTATATGTACCAATATACATGTTACTGTAAACTACAAACTAATGCTCTGTATCTAAAACAATATCATTAGTAGGACATAAATTGTAGGGTTACAAAGGGGTGGAAAATTTTTGGAAACTTTCCAAAAATCCTGGAAAGTTTCCAAAATTTCTGGAATATTTCCTAAATTTAATGGAAATTTTCCACCTTTTTTTGAATTTCGAATATTTGTCGAATTTAAAATAAAAATTTAATTTTAGGTGTGCGTCAGGCTGCCTTATCAGTGGCACACAAGATGCGATGACGATGACGATGTAAGTGTCGTTGCATTTTAATGTTTTTCTTAGCTTATCCAGTTTAACCCACTAGATGCAGCGCTGCTACATAGTTCATTCAAAATATTGTGGGAAAAGAGAACATCAATGCGGAGATGTTGTCGTTTATGTCAAAACTGAAACCAAACCGTTCACACAAGCCGAACACATATTTATCGCATTTTCTAGAGGGACATCTATCACCGTTGCACTCGCGTCTCGCACAAGAGAGTCGCATGTTTAGAAAGCCATGTAAAATTTATGAAAGTTCAACTTTTAAAAAACATGTCTCAAGACTTTATGGTGTTTTTTCCCCCGTCACACTGCATCTCATGTTTTTAAATGAAAAAGTATTTTTTTGTGATTGGTTTTTGGTGTTTTGTATTAAATACATACATACATGATGCTGTTTTGTTACTAATTGTTTAAGTAACTTAATTATATATGGTTTATAAACATTATAACACAATAAACATTATGCACTTTTTTCAAAGATAGGCCTGTTATTTTATTGCTTTGAAGAAACGTGCATTAGTAATATTTTGCTCGATGCGCCCTCTTGAGGCCTCAGGAGAGAAGCCAAAAGCTTTTTCCCCCTAACTGAAATTATGCCTTTTAAATTTTAATATAATTCGAATATTGATATTATATAATTACAATATTCGAATTTAGTTTTTCAGTCATTTTGACAGCCCTAGCGCTTTATACAGTACAGATTGTTTTAAAGATATTAAATAATTACAATATTGCAGTAATATATTATATAAATAAAAATAATATTTAAATTATGCAAAAATAATTCAATTCAGTTGTAAAGCTGCTCTAAATAGAAACGTACTGTCTATTTACTCTAAGTACAAATAGCCCAATTTGTTGACAGAGACTACAGTAATTCCACCCACCAATGCCTGGCTGCGATAAACAGCACTGCAAAAGATGTCTGTTTATCTGCAGCATCAGCAGCTCAGCGAGTAAAACACAAAGTAGGCCTAATTAACGCGCTCGACCCGTGTTCGAATACGCCTTTTGCCAAACTCTTTCTTCTCATTTTCCCATCACATATCAGATCGAAAAGGCATTTATTTTCAATAAAAATAAAGGAAATATTTGAAAATTAGAAATTAAACACCTCATTAATAATACATTGTTATTGGGTATGGTTAGCGATAAGTGTAGGGCTTTAATGTCCCAATAATTTAATAATAATAATAATAATTTAATAATATTAATAAATATGATCATTTACTCTCAATATGTTATTACATACATGTACTACAGTACTGAAGTATAAATATCTGTCACCTAACTAACACTTAGCCTATTGCTAAGAAAACACTGCTATTTTAGTGTAAACAGAATTGATCATTATTTGCACTTAGTGTAACTAGAATATATAACTTTTTCCCACTTAGTGTAACTGCCAAAAATAAAATAATATCATTGATCAGTTAAAGACAGCTCAGTGTTGATTCAGTTCTGTTCAATTTGTAAAGTTAATTAATTATGAAATGAGTTCGATTGGGCAATATGGCATTGTTTACTAGTCTGAACACTTATTAACAAGCCTTTGTAAAAATAATGGTTAGCACGTTTATTTGTAAGGTAACAGCCTCGACAGCTGTGCTGAATTAATGTTCAGTGGTTGTCATGCAACAACATGCATACTACTCTGAAACATTTTGTTGCATATTGTATACTGTTTCACACACTATTCTTTAAAAAAATAGTAGGAAGTATGCACTGTGTACTGGACATTAGCAGTAAGCTAGTGTGCCATTTCAAACACAGCCATAGAAACGCTTGAACTGATTAAACATGAAGACAATAAACACACGACTGTGACAATATGTGGTTTATCTGTGTTCTTCAAGCCATCTTGGGTATTTTCATTATAATAAAGTAAATTTATAATCCATTGCTAAACAACATAGCCTTTATTACAATATATAATATATTTTCTTCCTCATTCTGTGATAAGAAGCCACATCTGATCAGAAAATTAAGTTATTTCAAACACTCGACAGATGTTGTGGAGTAAAATCATGTAAATAAAATGTTCTCTTTTGTTGAACAAAAGATTTATAAATGCTTCTCATTAAGTTTGGGAAGATGTTTGGCGCGTTTTGCTTTTTCAGATGCATGTTATAAGCGACTCTAACTCACAGCGCTTGCAGAGATCGAGCGGCATTTACTACTGACGCTGTGCAGATATTTTTTTTAAATCACAGCCTTTGCGATTAAATAATCGCATCAAGCAAAATCACGATTTTGGTTCAAATTCAATTAGTCATTCAGCCCTAATTGATACTATAGAAGAATACTGTGTTCTCCCACCTTTAATAGTTCTCATCTCTCTACTGAATATCCTCTGATCAGATCAGTTAAACATCTAGTAACCAACTAGTAAAGATCTTTAAGAACAACTTTTTTTTATTTGCTTTTAGAACAAGACAAAGTAGGACATACAACAACTATTCATTAAGCAACTAGCAACTATTCATCTTTAACTACAGTACATTCTAGTTTTTCCAGTTTAGAGCTTAATTTTTAGATTCTAGATTCACCTCAACACAACCTGTTCAGGTTTAAATGTCAATGCTTTGCACATAACTACAACAAGGACAGAAGCATATTTGATCTTTGCTGGTACCAAAAAACAAAGAATAGCAAACTATCATTCAAGAAAATCCAGAATAAGTAGCAAAAGCAAAACAAATGCAATGGATTACTAAAGAATAATGTAATCGTTATTGTTATATTCATTTATAACTGAAATGGTTTACACTATACCTATCGTTTCAACCTTCGGATGCATAAGTTCCACAACATGAAACTGAGTTTAGAGCAGTTTAGAATTAACAGCCATTATACACATCTTCTGTTCTTACGAAACTGCATGCTACATTTAATTTAATAAAATACCATGAATATTCTTTATTATCTGACATCTTGATGTTAATATATTGCTGTAAATTCTAAACCTCATAGGTGCCCAGGATGGGGTAGTAGAAGGTAATACAGTCTATGCTCAAGTTAAGGTAAGCTTCAAATTACTGTTCATCATTTAGCTCGCATACATCATTGACGTTGTGTGGTACAGTTCTATTAATTCATGTGACTTAAAAAATACAGACAAATCAGAGGCTCCAAAAATGTTTAAAACATATATCTGCCTTTTATCTTTGTCAACATTGTAATGCAAAATTATCACCACATCACCGAAACAAGAGGCATAACTACATTATATAACTGAAGGCAATATTTGACTTTGCATAGCAGAAAGCATTTAGACATTTCAGTTATAAACAGAAGAGATTACTGCTGCTTATTTTATAATTAAACGTTCTCAAGAAAACACTGATATGCCCAATCCTGAACAAATCCTTCTGCAACTAAAACAATTATCTGAATAGATTAAAATTTACTTTTTGTCACCAGCAAAGATGATCAATTTGTTTGTTACTAATGTGATAAGAGTCATGCAGCTTCACAGTGAAAATAATTAATTTAATAGCTGTAAAAAAAAAAAATAAATAAATAAAGTAACACAATGTAGCATTTCGAATTATAAAAACAAAGTAGGTAATAAAAATGACTTTAGTAAAAAGTCATTGTTGATTAATTCAGCAGATGTTTAATAATGAAGCATGCGCAGCTTGTTCATGAGGCTTTTGTTTAAAAAAAAAAAGTATATCCACACACTAACTAATACTCCTTGATAGAACATTATACTGTACATTTTTTGTTTAAAAATTTCAGGCTCAAGAAATGCAGAATCTCAACAGTGACAGCCATACATATGATTTTCCAGACCGGGTGAGAATAATCTAAAACAAATGAACAGGCTATGATTTTATAAAATGCTTGTTGTATATACTGTTGTATAAACATGAATGTTTTATTAAATTGTTTAGTTCAGTACTTGTTCAGCTACCCATAATTGTTCAGGAATGCATTTTAAATATACTGTTTTTATATTCCATTAGGGTCAAGCCCAGACACAAAAGGAAACTGGAGATAATCTACCCAACACAACCTACAGCAGAGTAGGACAACACCAAAAAATCGCCTCTGAAACAGACCTTACAATTTATTCCGAGGTGTACAAACAACCAAACAAAAAACCACCCGCTGATGATGCTTAAAATAAAACTGTGGCTAATTGTCACATGGGGAAGCTGTCACAAGGCTTGATCTCAAAATGGCATCCCACTCTTACAATCTCAGCCTTATCTTTATATGGTAGAAATAATGAGAAAAGTATACTAGTATGCTATTCTGAAATTAAGCCAAAGCTGTCCAATTAAGGTATGCTTTCTCTAGCAGCGGTTGAGCATATTGGATTCAAGCATCCAGATCCAAATGGTCTTACTTTTTTCTTTTCTTTTTTTTTATGAATGTGAATTATACCCTAAATTGGATTTTCCACACATAACCTCATAATTTTCAAAAATAATCCAACAGTGAATTAACTGGAGTTTACTGTGACAACTAACCCCACATGGGAATTCAGTATAGTTTAAATAGTTGGTGGATATATTTACCTCACTTCCCATGATCTCATGTTATATTTAACATTTCAATTCAAGTGGTATGAAGCCAGACCATCTAATGAAGCACAAAGGCAAAAATTATTATACCTACAGTTTAAAAGCCAAATCACAAGTATTTTTCATGCATTTTGACCACTAGGTCGTTGTATCTCATTTATTTATTACTTTATATCTTACTTAAATTGTACTTTTGTTGATTCTTGGATTAGTCTTGGAGATATCGTTTCCTGAGATAACCCAATCTTGCCCAATCTTACGTCAAAAAACTAAATAATAATTAAAAAAATAGTGTCATATATGCTACACTGGAATCTCGGGGACCACGTAATGGATTTACATGATGACAAGGTGAATTGTTCATGTTTGCGGAAAAGAGTAGTTGTACTTCCCATACCTCCATGGGTGCTTCGGTAGCCTGCAGATTATTGAAATAATAAAGCGGACTTAGGTGAGAACAGGGGTGTATTCCAGAAAGCAAGGTTAACTTACCGTCACATATACCCTGAACTCTAGGTTGGTTAACCCAAACCTGGCTTATTTGAGGTATGCTGGTTCCATAAACTTGTCCGGGAGTAAGTTCAGTCAACTCAGAATATGTTCACGGTTAACACATAAGATATAAGATATTCTCAACAGAGCGACGAATTGACGAGTCACCATGCTGCTTCTTCTTTTGTTCAATGGTCATTTACATACTTAATGCATATAATAGTCTAATTGATGGTTGTGCAATCATTTTTTATTTTTATTAATCTTTTAATCACTGAGAATAAGAATTATAATATTTGTTTGACGCTAATTATATAATAAGAAATATTACATATGTATTTTTATTATAGAAATATATTATAGAAAAAGCAGATCCACGATGTGTGAGATGACAATAAAATATAATAAATATATTAGAATAAAATAAACATTCCATTGTTATAACAGATTTATATTTAATATATATCGCTATTAAATATGACAATAAATATAATAACCTATTAGAATAATATAATATTGCCTTAGTTAACATATCATACAACTAATATATTATATTATATATATATATTATATAATATATTATATATGATTACAATATAGTTATCAAATATATATATATATATTTGATAACTATATTGTAATCATATATAATATTATAAGGTCACGCATGTGCTGATAGCGCTGAAGTAAACTAACCCTGAACATAACCTGCTCCGGAGCAGGTTATGTTCAGGGAATATAAGTTGCTATGGCTACTTAGAGTTACCCGCTTTTTACCCGAGTTTATCCGCTTAACGTTACTTACCCTTAAACATACTCGGCTATGTCACATAACCAGCTTTCTGGAATACCCCCAGTTGATCTCTTTTTTTTTAACAAATCATCACAGATAGCCTACTATAGTAATAAAATAAAATATATCATCTATAGCGCACTTTTAAACAAGAGTTTATTACGTGCTATTGCAGAGAACATATGATATAGCTTTACACAGCATGCTTGTAATAAGACACAAGTGAATAAAAATAAAGTCTAATCGGTTGATATTCAATTTATACCTTAGGTGTGCAGTAAGCGATTTCTGAGAAACCCAGACATTAAACACACCCCTACCCAAAAGAAACACCCCCTCCCTTCATTTCTCGGGAAAGTGTGTCTGTGTCTTTATCATATCTGCAAAGCAAAATAATAATGCAAATGCACAAACAAGCAAGACTTTGATGTTAGTCGCCAGCGCACCCGCAGACAAACAATAACACTCAAAACTGTTCTGACACTTCAGCTAATATTACAACAGCAGCAGCATATCATGGTTCTTCTGTGTAACACAGCAAAACCAATGTTACTCAGGTGTCGAGCAGAACCAAAGCAACTCGACCTCTGTTTTTAAGGCCTTCCTTAAAACGTCGCTCCAGCACTGGAAAGCTTTTCCAGTATTAACCCGGGTCCTACTCCTAGCTCTTGTCTGATCGTAACCCTTCTTTTTCCAGTGACAGTCCTCTCTGACGTTTTCCTCTTTAGTAATGCCATCTTTCTTTCTCTACAGGCTTTTTACAAATCTCCCGCTCGCTCACTCTCTCTCCTCCCCATCATGAGCGTAAACGCCCCCTATTGCTGATTGGCTACAAGACAAGTGTGTTGTGGTGCTCAGTATGATCGGTCCGATCCACTTTGTTTTCCCCCTATTTATACAGCCAGGACTATGTACAAACACAACATTTTTCCAGCATACACACAGAACAGAAAGCAAGCAAATATTCTATATTCAAATATTCACAAAACTGTTTGTCTGGGTGTTGGTTACAATTGTCAACAGTGTTTCTCAGAAATCGCTTTACAATAGTTCAGTAGCCAAACCACAAGCGTTTTTAGTGCATTTTAACTGATAACCACTAGACATTACATTTTACATTTTAACCTATTTTTAGGCAATATATATGTTTCTCATTCAGTTAAAGTAATTAATTTTTAATCTTATTCAAACAGCACTTTTGTTGATTCTTGGCTTAGACTCCTGGCTTAGTCAGGAGATATCTTTACCTGAGATAACCTTTTAAACAAAGTCTGGCTCTGAACACTGGATATACTCAACATTCTCAGGTGAAGTTTAAATATAATTGAGATGGGACCAAATTGGAGGCTACTATTTCCCTAAAGAACATAGATCTGTCACAATGCATGTGCAGTGTGAAGGCATCTAAATGAACCAAGACCTACCAAGAATAAACAACAGTGAAATTTAAATATGAAAACAAATAATGAACAAATTACACACAGGGTTAAACATTGAGACAAAACAACAGTATTAGACTGCACATCCACATTCCAAGTACAGTAAATTCCCTGTTTTTTTCAACAGGGAATTTACTGTACTTGGAATGTGGATGTGCAGTCTAATACTGTTGTTTTGTCTCAATGTTTAACCCTGTGTGTAATTTGTTCATTATTTGTTTTCATAAATTAATTGATAATGGCTCTTCCCGGTTGAACAAAAAAAACAGCATATGCTGGTTAGGTATGTTTTGAAGCATGGCTGCTGGGTTGAGCCGGGTTAAGCTGGTCATGTGCTCCAAGTACAGTAAATTCCCTGTTTTTTTCAACAGGGAATTTACTGTACTTGGAATGTGGATGTGCAGTCTAATACTGTTGTTTTGTCTCAATGTTTAACCCTGTGTGTAATTTGTTCATTATTTGTTTTCATAAATTAATTGATAATGGCTCTTCCCGGTTGAACAAAAAAAACAGCATATGCTGGTTAGGTATGTTTTGAAGCATGGCTGCTGGTTTGAGCTGGTTTAAGCTGGTCATGTGCTGGTCCTAAGCTGGTTCTGGGCAGGAGCTAGTTGCTTAGGACCAGCTCATGACCAGCTAAGGACCATCTTAAACCAGCTCAAACCAGCAGCCATGCTTCAAAACATACCTAACCAGCATATGCTGGGTTTTTTTCAACAGGGTAGAGCCATTATCGAGCCAACAGCACATGGACTCTTTGAAACATTTCCGTTTTATAGCTGACGAAATGATAGTGAAGCGAGAGTTTGTTTGATAAGTCACTTTAATAGCCGAATAGCAGAAATATTACAAATAAAATGCACTGGAACTTGATTCTTTGACAGTTATCAACATAAACTAAATATTGTTGATTTTCTAATATAATTTTATTGTGAAATGTTAATATTTTAGTATATTCATATTTAAGTTATTCACACAGTTTTTAGTTTACAACGTATTTACTTAAATATGGCTTTTGTTAGTGCTTTGCAGTAACCTATGTAATCCACCTTATTTTGCAAGTGAACTTTCTTTGAATGTGCAAGACTTCCGGCTCAAGTGTTGTAAACTGTTAACATTTTGCAATACAATCCAATGTGTTTGTGACAATACATTAAAATAATATGAGGAAAAAATACCAGTTGGCAATATCAAACAGCTTCATGGGCTGTAGCCGATGACACCGGAAGCCTTGCACATTAATTATGTAATGAAAAGCTGAATCTTTTTTAACTGGTTCTTCGAAACGAACTGTTCATGTCATGAAAGGGAGTAGTTGTACTTTCCATGGGTTATTTTTAGACGTCTACTTGTTTATTGGAATAATAAACTCTGACTTAGGAGAGAACCTTAGGAGAAAAATATTTTGCAGAGAACATAAGCTGCACACTTGTATGCTTGCAACAAGACAAGCGATTAAAAATAATGTTTAATCTGTTTATATTCAATTTATAGCATAATGACCTCCAATAAATTGTAAAGCGTAAGCTGTTTATCCTAATGTGCTGGTATTATTATGACCTGTTTTATATAACTGTTAAAATAATGTATTTTCTGTATTAGCTACTGCACATTCAAAACATGTAGACTTAAAATTGCAATTTGGTAAAAAAAAATGTATTTAATTTTTTTTAGTGAACTGTTTTTATTCCTTTTAAATGTGTGTTTGTATATATGTTTTTGGCTTTTTCATGAATTCAAAAGACTAGTTCTGTGTCATATGTGGGTTTCATCTGCTGTCTTTACTAATAAAACTGAGCAATTAAATTAAAATCTTCTCAGATTAATTTTAAATGTGATTTTTGCCACTGGAAACTATGACTTAATGTGCAAACCAGGTTTAACTTCATAGAAAACAAACGTGGAACCAGTCATGAGTCAGAGGATCTATAGCTATAAAATGTAACTGCTTATAAGTAATGTGAAAATATTTAGGTCTGATCTCATTGTTGTGAATGAACACTGAAGCTGCTCACTGTTATGTAGTTTTCATTATAAGCATATTCATAAACTGTGCTGAATAAGTTATGATTTTGAAGCTGTGTACATGTTGTGTGCATTTGGGGTCCTTAACTAGTGGAGGGTGATTTGAGACGTCACTGTACAAGCAGGATGTGGGTATGGTGTTAAAGAAGTGAGTCGGGGTGAACAGTGAAATGGAACACTACGTATAGACCCTGTTGAACAAAAACATGTTCATTTAAAAAAAAAACTCTGTTATGTAGTTCTTGGCCATTTTTGACTTTGTGATTCTTTAGGATGGAATTTTACATGAGCTCAAAGGACAAGTTTTAGCCAAAAGTCAGGTATATTTACGCTTTGCCTACAGCCTCATGCTCATGATTAGTCACTGGCCTAGTGACGCGGAAGTGAGTGTCTGACTAGCTGTGCTAAAAAACCACAGTCCTTCTCACATGTTAAACTTCCTTCACTGAAAAACCCACAGAGAAGCAGACATTTTTGTTTGCTATGATGGCATTTAGACTGCTCCTGTCCTGTTTTCTTACATCAGGTACAAAATCCAATCATTATACTATTCTAAATAAGTCTTTGATTCATGATTTCCTCTGGTGACAAATCACTAATCTGAAGGGCATTTTTAAAATTCTGTACCAGTCTTTTTATGTCATATTAATCAAGTCTTTTTGGAATTGTTTTGGTTTCACTTCAAAAATGTTTCACTGAAATGTTGCCAGGATTTTACGAGATTTAACTGATTTGTTAGTACATACTGTATTCATAAATATGATCACACCAGATCTCACTGAATTGTTTGATTCTACAATGATGGAATTAACATTAGCCCTTGTAATTGTGTAATCTGATGTCACCATTATTATTGTGGTTAGTGTTACCGTTGGTTGGGAATTTTAACTTTTTTGGTCTTGATCTTGGCTGTGTTCTTGTGTTCTTTACTGAGAGAAACAACTTGAGAGAAACAGCTTGTGTCAACTATATGATTACTGTCCATGAAAACAGCAAGTAAACAGCTACTCTTTGTACTTTAATAAAAGGCTTATTTTCTCTCTCCTCAGGGTTCAGTGCTGAGATCTCTGTGTTTGTGCAGACAGGAGATTCTGTTCAGCTGGATATACAGACACAAGAACTACCAGAGTTTGATGATTTATCCTGGAAAAAAGATAAATCAGAGAATATAGTTAAATATACAAGTGAATCTAAAAGAGTAAGACTTCACTCTTCCTACAAGGACAGAGTGGATTTCAATAATAAAACCTTCTCTCTAACACTGAGGAACATGCAGAAGATAGACAGTGGAATCTACACAGCAGTAGCAGCTGCAGAATCAGACAACAACATTGTTACATACAGAGTATCTGTTATAGGTGAGCGTGATGTGAAGTGCTTAGTCTGTGATGTAACTGCATATAATGTTAATTATATTCAGTTTACATTTGAAATCTGTATCTTTTATCTGAAAACCTTTATTTGAAAACAATATAAACGGGTGCACATACGTTTTAAGGTCTGGTTCTCATGAGAGCACCTGGAGATTTGGTTTAGTAGGAGAGAGTGGGGACTGTTGCAACAAGGGGCAGTTGCAACATGGCTTATTTCTTCAATCAGGAAAGAGCAGTGATGATATTCATACTGCACATGCTTAGTTAGCCCCTCATCCTTCCTGGAAGAAATCAGCCACGTGACCATTCCTTCTACAAAAAATTTTAATGATCAGATTTTTTGTCATACTAAGTTGTTTGCGTGAAGCATAGTAAAAACATATAATTTTAATCTGTGTTTTCTTAGCTTCTAATAGCTAGCATGTGTCAAAGGTATTGTGTCAAGCTAATATACCAAGTTTTACTCGATTACTATTCCTGAGGTAAAACACACCCTCCTCATTACCCCATGGATAAAGAAATGCAGAAATACATAAATGGGGAAATAAATAAATGTAAAAATAAATATGTAAAGAAATACAGTACATAAATGTGGAAACAAATAAATGTAGATTAGGAAGATATATAAATAAAGAAAATAAATATAATATTAGATATATAAATAGAATAAAATAAAAAATAAATAAATAAATAAATGTGGAAGAAATAAATATATACATAAGGAAATAAAAGTATAAATAATTATTTATTTTTTACTTTTCTTTGTATATTTATTTATATAGTTATTTAATTAATTTTGCATTTTACATTTCTTTGTATATTTATGAATTTATTTATTTCTAATTTGGTCAGGTTTGGCATTCCATAGTGTACCACTTATGTCCACCCCTGAATATAAATTTGTAAAGCACAACAAAATGCTGTTACCTAAGGATTTTTACAAACTTTTTGTTTGTTGATTTTTTTATAATGACTTCAAATCCTGATGCACATATTTGAATATATAACAAAATTACTAATTTCAGGAAGTCTGAACAAAATAGTATGAATAAATTATGTTTGTTCCTGGTTTACTGAAGTTTTAAACTGGCAAATTCTAGCATGTCTGAAATTGTGAATGTGGCCTTGTGTGTGTGTGTGTATGTGTGTTTCAGATGCAGTGGAAGCTCCGGTCCTGACTGTAAACTCAAACTCATCCAGTCCTAACCCCTGTAACTCTACATGTAATGGAAGTAACATTATCATCAGCTTCATCTATGATAGTAGCAGCTGTTCTCCAGAAAAAGTGACATCATCTGATAACTACATTCTAAGACTGAGCTGCAATGGTGACTCCATCATGTGTAACTACAGCAACCCAGTGAGCTGGAAGACTGACACAAAGAAGGTTAATGAACTCTGCACTGCTAAAACAGGTACATATTGTATCCACTCGGACCTGTAAATACACTTACAGATTAAGAAACAGAAAATCGATGAGAATGTGACAATTTTAAATACTGTATGATGTGCCACTCTTCATTTTAAATGCCAAACACTGGACTGAAATTCCTGTTAATATAAACCTCTGTCTGTGAAAAGTGGAGAAATTTGTTCTTATCTTTCATGCCTATAAACAGAAAAACATGAAGAAGCACCTGCGTTTCCCCCTTGGGTCATTTTTATTTGTCTAATCACACTGGCATTGGCGGCAGTGATCGGCTTCTGTATTTACAAGAGGAAAAAAGGTACAGAGCATCCTACAATTATCTTGTTTCAATAACACTTATAGCAGTCTTTCATATTGCTTGCTAGTGAACCATCTAAGAGTAGGCTATTTCTCTATCTGAAATGAAAAGACATGCATCAAATGTCTCACAAATTTATGGATCAAATATTAGTCTGATATTTGTGCTGTGCGTATGAACTCATGTCACATCCATTAAAAATATTTTGTCAGTGAGAAAACCCAACAGTCAAACAGTCTTTACACAAAGTTTGACATTCCAATGTAATTCTACAGAGATTTTTCCAAGAGCATATGACTGCAGTTTAAAATAACCTCACTTCCCAAGTTTATTTTTACAGATAGATCAGTTTTTAAAGTCCTTTCAATGTAAACGATGTGTTTTTGTAAACACAGTTTTTTGTTTGGGTTTTTTTCAGTTTTTTCACCATTGTATTTGCATGTTTGCTGTCACTATTTAATTTTAAATGGTCCTGTAGTGTGGCATTGCATAATTAATTTTTAGAAATAAAAATATTCCATGTAATCTCCCTATTAACATGATATCACAAAAACTACATGCACAGTAGTTATAGCACAATGCTGTTTAAAACCGATTGATGTGAAGTCGAACATTCCACAACACAGGACCTACCAACTTCCTATTCATTTTCATTTGAACTACCTACAAATTTGACACTTCTGCTTTTAAACTGTATGACACACTTTTTTCTAAGCTTCCATTAGAAGTGTGTTAACAAATTATTGCCACAGATGCTGATCAATTCTTAAAAGTGTTGTAGAGCAAAAAGTTCTATGCCTATACACTGAAATTGTTGTCTTGAATATTGATGTTCTATTTTAAACATCATAGGCACCCAGAAGAATGAACAAACAATCTACGCAGAAGTTGACGTAAGTGTTATACTACTATTCTTCATTAACCACAGACTATCTGTTATCTTTTAAAACAAGTATGCAACATGTTTTGCATCTCAGTTTTTGGTAATAAAATCATACACTCCCAGAAAAAAATAGAAGCTGTCACTGGGGCGGTAACATTTAAAAATATATTAATATTTACTATTTAGGTACTAATCAGTACCTTTAAGGTTATAGTCAAGTCAAGTCAAGTCACTTTTATTTATATAGCGCTTTATACACAGATTGTGTCAAAACAGCTTTACAGTGTCAAAAAGGAAAAATGTGTACTGATAATGCAAGAACACCATGCAGTTTATCAGTTAAAGTCAGTTCATTTTTGATTCAGTGATGTCATCGTCCAGCTCAGTTCAGTTCTCTTCCAATAGTGTCTGTGCAGTCAAGTCAACTATGTTGCCAGAAATTGTGTCCCCAACTAAGTAAGCCAAAGACGGCAGTGGCAAGGAACCAAAACTCCATCAGTGACAGAAATGGAGAAAAAAACCTTGAGACAAACCAGGCTCAGTCAGGGGCCAGTTCTCCTCTGGCCAGACAAAACCAGCATGATGTGGTTTTATATGCATGCTTTAGGGGTAAATAAGGTACAAAGGTGTTCCCAGTGACTGCTTTGTACCTTTTTTCTTAAAGTGTAGAGTCTGAGAGTGTAAACTATTAGTGTCTGCATTCATTTATTAATTCATTGTTATTTCTTCATGGTTATTTACTGTCACATGACCACAGGTGATCATTTCCATCAGAGATTGTCTTACTATAGGGAGATGAGAGGGTCTGTATTACTTACTATTGGAGAAAGTGTAATGGTCAACTTGGATCATGTGTGCCTTAATAACAATCACATTACAGCCTGACATCATTGAATTTCAAGTCAGAGTTGTGCGACACTCAATCGCCGTTTACAGATACCATAGGAATGAATGAGAAGTGCCGTAAGCTGTATCCCACCTGTCGCAAAAAGTCAGTGACTTCTCTTGTAAAACTGCATTTTTTTTGGTGTAAACTCTAAAAATAGTTCAATCCAAAAGTATTGCTTAGTGTAAAGCATGTTGGAGATTAGCCGATAGGCTGTCGATTCATTAAATGATAAGCTGTTTCCCCTAAAAAGCTGTTTATTCAACGTAGTGAAGTCTCTCCTGCATTGACATCCATTAAAACAACGGCTTCTCTCCATTCCCACGCACTGGCAAACCGGAAGCGTTAGCATTAGCCGTTACGCTTTTTCGGCTAAAGGTTCCAGGCTTGCCTTCTAGTGGCTTTGATTTCCATTCCCTTTATTATTTCCTATGGTGGATTATTTGGTATGAAGGAAAGGAGTAGCGGAAGTCAACTTTCTGTATTGCATTGGTTTGAATGCTGTATGTGTTCAATGCCTCATTTGCCTTATCAAGTAAACTGAAAGCAAGCTAAAAATTATCAGTCTTCTATTTAGTGAAAATGAAGACCAATTGCTATACTTAGCCCCTATGTGGTGGTTGTTAGATGAGTGGAGTACTCACCACTCATTTCAGCCAAACCAGCAGTCTGACATCTTGATTGGATTGCGTCCACAGGAGAACATCAAGCCACAAAAGTCACTGGAGATGTTGGAGAAATCAGATAATCCTCAGACAGTGTATGATACTGCAAGAGATTCAGGACAAACTGATGTTACCAACCACACCACACCCAATGACGACCCTATGAATCAGGTGAAGATTAAACAATCGCTATAATCTCACTCAGTTACAATTCATTTAAAATTAACTGATGGTTAATTTGGATTAAATGTCTTAATTTGGAATAAAGGTGAAGACAAGCTTAAGTGAACAACATTCAAATTATAAAGTTATTATATTTGTGGCTTAATGTTTGGGAAACAACCTGCCAGTTTGCAACCTGAAGTTGTTTAAATGATTTGATGGGGAACATGTTTTAAATGAACTGCAGTTGATTTTGTTGTTCTTTATTTCAGAGGTCATCATTCACAGAGAAGAGCAACCCAGATGCACCAGTCACTATCTACTGTGCTATTCAGCAGCAACCAAAACCCCCCAAAACTGAAACTGATCACACCATTTATGCTGCGGTCAATAAACCATCAGCCGGATATGAATCTGCACATCCACAATCAGAAAAAAAGTGAACTTTTAACGAAGCTGAACCCTTAATACAGGACATCATGTGTTCAGGAAGGCATTGTTATTCTCAGTGTAAATAAGCAGCATATTTGTGATATGTAATGTGCTGTTGATTTGTAGTTGATTTAGGGTGTTTAAAATATTTGTATATGCAAATTTTGTCTTTTTTAAAGCAGCAGTGAATGTATTTTTTATTGTAAAATTGTTGTACATGTGGCTCAAACAGAAATGCAAAATCTCATGTGGTTTCTGTAGATTTCTGTTGGAGATTCCTCATCGCCTTTGCAGGCAACACCTGAAAACCACTTCCTGGAAAGTATTTTGAAGGGTTGCGTTCATTTGCCCATTCGCCCCCATCCCTCTGAAAAACACACCGTTTAGTATACAGAAAGTAATGAGTATGTAATCAAAAATGTACTGTACAAAACCACTTTGCACTAAAGAAAGTAACAATTATTGGACTCAAGTGCATGGATGTCAGTAACTGAACAGACATCTGTGTACTGTATCCAGTGTAGACAGCTTCAGTGATTATAATGGGTCCTATTTGCTTTTGATGTGACACTCACGTCTGGTGTAAACAGGCCATTAAGGGCTGGTCACACTACTTTGTGTTATATTTACTTCCATTCATACGGATTTGAATTCAGGAGACAGGAAACACAATCTCTTGTCAAATTTGCTGCGTTCCAAAGTTAAAATCTGGTGAACTCTGCCCTGCAAGTTCATATCACATGAAGATGTGCCTAGTCAAGTCTAGTGTGACTGCAGCTTTAAGCAACTAAACGCCAGAGGACGGGGCATATGGTGCAATGATGTATAACTATTCTTCAATATCTTGCTCTAGAGGCAGTCATAGAAGTCTTTTCTTGTTAAATAAATGCTTTTTTGAAGAGGTGGACTTTTGGAAGAGGAAGCCATGAAACTTGGAGGATGTTTTAATGGTATCTCTTATATGTGAAAAGATCAAAGAATTTGATTAAAAAAAGTGATTTTTCATGTCATGACCCCTTTACTTATGTTGTACTGTTTCTCACTTTGCTTTATATTTTTGTCTTCAATAATGCATGTATTGAATAGCTCTCTTTGTTCCATTTCTTACGGTTTTAGCCTGTCCTCATGTTTTGAACTTAAGTCAATAAACTGTTCTTGCAGTGTTTACCATTTTTATCATTATTTACTCATTTGTGCAGCTAGATGTAATGTAGCATCAATGTATGTCTTATCAAGTGTCTATTACAAAAAAAGTGCTGTATGCATTGAAGATTTTTGTGCTCTTTTGATTAATAATTTCTATTGCACAAATGTATATGAACCATTACAACCCACCTATTTTCAAACCCTCAGTTGTGTTGGCCTGTACAGTAAGAGTAGGAATGACTTGCATTGGTCAGGTGTTAAGATAAAGAGATGTAGCACTGGAGCTTCTGGTATAACTTATGTTGAAGGACTAAGTGTTAGACTAATATTCAGCTGTGTCCCAAATTCAGGACTTTAAGACCAGAACCAGTCCTATATCTGGTCTTAAAGCAATGTAGTTCCCTTTCGATACTACACTCGTACTGCGTCTTGCTAGACGCATACAGGAAAAAGCCTTTTTTTCTCCTGAACTGAAGCCTTTTTTTTTCATTCACGCAGTGAAACTGCACGGCGGAACGCCTTCCGCGTATGACAGATACCGGAAGTGAGAGAAAAGTGTTTATTACGTTTGTAAATATGAATATTTTTCTTACAAAAACGCATGCATTCACTACAGGAGGCCTTTATTCACCCCCCGGAGCCGTGTGAGGCACGTTTTATTATGAATGCACGCGCTTTATTTGAAGACTTGTGGCCTGTTCAACGGCAACACCTGCTGACTGCAATGATAGAACTTGGAATAGCCAGGACAATTTTTAATATAACCCCGACTGGATTCGTCTGAAAGAAGAAAGTCATATACACCTAGGATGCTTCGAGGGTAAGTAAAACACAGCCTAATTTTCATTTTTGGGTGAACTAACCCTTTAAAATGACGATACCTAATAATGATGTGGTTAACATAATTCCACTTGTATGAACGTGAAACTGATTAAAACTTCAAAATTAACTGATGTTCTCTCTGTATTTGTTTCTGTCAAAGGTTGACCACTCCAATTCCTTGAAAGACAGATACCATGAAGGTGCCTGATCCCACCTGCATCAAGCCAGGACAGCGGAATTGTTAGACCATAACCTGAAATGCGGGAGACGGGTGCGAAGACACTTGAAGGGGCCATTCACACCTCACAGTTGTACATCACTACACAAATATCTACATGGCCTCCCGGTGTAGCACCAGAACTAAATTTTGCAACACAGGTTGTCATAGATTAGACTCCACCCATCTCCCAGACATGAGCACAGAACACACACCTCCACCATTGCATCATTACCTCATATAGACTATCCAGGCTGAACACTATCACAAAAAACAATGATGGCTTAGATTCCACACGTGCTACTCCACTTAAGATCTATTGTCCATCTTCACGCTAACAGAACCACATAGCTTCACACACATAGGACAGTAGAATTAATCCCATTATGATAGTCTAGCAAAGACACACATAACATATTTACAACCCTCTGCCAACTCATGGGAAACATAATAAATATGCATGGCTACCGTTACAAATCGATGATGTAAAATTCTGAACGCAGAAGCAGATCTGCCAAAAGACTTTTATATTTTCTGATTGTTATTAGGATGGTTGGCAAACTAGAGGGCCCGCTGTTTTCCCAACGTTTCACTAATAAAATACACATTATCAAAATCGTTAGGTCTGAAATACTGGCACTTCAGTCGATCTACTACAAAATTAGCAATTTGACTGTACCATCGAACGTGACCTAGACTGCGTGACACACACAAACACACACACAAACTGTTACAAAGGATGCAGGATCTCCATTTTTTTTATTGGGGGAAAATATAGAGTACAGATAAGCTTAACATAATTCAAATCAAACGTTCCTCCGAATTCTCCTTATGCAAACAAAAATCTAACCAAGTTATAATTCTTTCTGCAGTTATTAACTATATATACACACGTATGTACACACCTGCATACACAATAAACTTAACAATCCTACACTCTTAAAAATAAAGGTGCTTCACGATGCCATAGAAGAACCTTTTTGTCTAAATGGTTCCATAAAGAACCTTTAACATCTGAAGAACCTTTCTGTTTCACAAAAGGTTTTTTGTGGCGAAAGAAGGTTCTTCAGATTATAAAAAGGTAAGAAAGAGATGGTTCTTTAAATAACCTTTGACTGAATGGTTCTTTGTGGAACCAAAAATAGTTCTTCTATGGCATCGCTTGAAGAACCTTTTGAAGCACCTTTATTTTTAAGAGTGTATACATGCACATGCCATCTAAGTATACACTGTACATGCAGACATATGCACATATTTTCTAACATACTATACAGAAATTCCTAAAACAAAACAAGACAACTCTCCACCCACGCACCCAGCCATTCACCTACCCACCAAACCGCCCACACACTCTCGCTCTGTCTGCCTGATACGCACCACATAGGGAGGAATACTAAAAAAAAACAGCCAGGGGTGGAATGGATCTTAGATCCAACTCAAATTAAGTCAACATCCCTCTCTTCCAAGTCTCCTCTGCCTTCTTCCCCTAAATACCTTATAAAGGGTCCCAAGTTTTAGAAAACTGTAGTCTCTTATTCTTTAGACAGAGCCGTATACGCTCCAAATGTAGTGTATTTGTGAGTTTGTCAAGAGCCGGAAAGGAGGTGGCAGTTTATTTTTCCAGAATGTTAAAATAAGCTTTTTGGCCGTTAAAAGTCCGTAGGAAAGAAATCGTTGTTGAGACTTGGACAGACAGAGCTCATGCCTTGAAACACCAAACACGATTAAAAACTCATCACGCTCAATATGTTGCTTAGTAATTTCAGAGATGACATCGAAAATCTTGCACCAAAAGCTTTGAAGACTGGGACATGATGCATAACTGTGAAGTACGGTCGCATCAGCCGTCCTGCATTTGTCAAATTTTGGAGAGACACCTGGAAATATTCTAGATAATTTTGTTAGAGTAGTGTAGTCTATGCAAGATTTTCAACTGGATGAGGGCGTGTCTGGAGTTTATAGAACATCTATTAATCTCTTCCAGGCTATCCGCCCATAACTCATTGGAAATTTCTGACCCAACTTCTTCCTCCCATAAAATTATGTAGTAGGTAATTGGGAGGCCTGGGGATTATTATAAATGCAGGAAATCATTTTCCCTTTACCAAAATAGTCCTCAAGGCAGGTGTCAAGACATGAAGGGCTAATTGTTGCAAACCTGTTTAAGTAGAATTGTACATAGTTCCTGACTTGCAAGAACCTAAAAAAAATTACTTCTCTGAAGTTTGAATTTTTCCTGACTTTTTTCAAATGAAATAAAGGTACCATCTTGAAACAGATCGCTTACTGTGTGAATTCCCGCATCTCTCCATTGCTGAAAACCTTTATTTAGTATGAAGGTATAAAAGAGGGGTTGTCAGCTATGGGAATTAGTAAAGGGAACGTCTCCACCCCAAAATGAGTTCTAATTTGTTTCCAAATACGAAGAACACTACTAATGACAGGGCTGCTTCTGTAGATTTCTTTTTTACAGCTTGTTGGTGAAAGAATCACCGCACCAAGATTGTACGGGGTACATTCACCTTGTTCTAATCTGAGCCAGTCAAGTTGCCCGCTTTTATCATTTAATATTATTGATATAATTGATAACAGCGGAAGTCTGGAAAGGCAAGACCCCCTACATTTCTAGGTTTGGAGAGATGTAGTTGTTCAATTCTATGGTTTTTATAATTCCAAATAAAGGGTAAAATAATTGAAACTAGTTGCCTTAAAAAGGACTTGGAAAGAAATAGAGGGGTGTTTTGTAACCTATATATTAACTGCGGGAGAAAAACCATATTGATGACATTTATTCATTTATATTATTTATACAGGGATACTAGAGGCAGGTTTAGTCACAAATAATAAGACGTTGTCCGCGTATAAAGCAATTTTATTTATAGCTGCTTTAGTACGGAGAAGCATGAATTCTTTCATCAAAGCGGATGGTTTCCGCTAGAGGCTCAATGGCCAGGGCAAAAAGAAGGGGAGAAAGTGGGCAACCTTGTCGGGTACCAATAAATAAAGCAAAAGATGGTGATACATTCTATTTGTGAGTATATGTGCCCTAGGGTTTTTATATAGAATTTTGAGCCAAGTGATGAATTTCTCTCCTACTTGGAATTTCTGTAGCAGAGCGAAGAGGTAAGGCCACTCTACTTGGTCAAAAGCCTTTTCGGCATCTAAGGACAAAATCACCAGATCGGATCGATTAGTCTGGGAAGAATATAAAATATTAAACAAACGACAAAGATTATTAAAAAACTACGACCTGAAACAAATCTGGTCTGATCAGGATTCACTAGTTTTCCTAAAACCGTATTGAATCTAGTGGCTAATGTCTTTGCTAAAGTTTTTTGGTCCACATTAATGAGAGATATTGGCCTGTACCCCCCAACCTCCTCTGGATCTTTGCCCTTCTTAGGCAGGACTGTGATTACCGCTTCAATAAAAACAAAGGTAGTCGTCCCACCTCCAGAGCCTGGGAGAACATTCTAAGCATATAGGGTACCAAATAGATTGTTAAATGTTTATATACCTCACAACGGATTCAGTCAGGGCCGGGGAATTTACCTCCTTTAAGTGACTTTATGCGGTTCTTTAATTCATCTAATGTTAAATCAGCTCCAAGAAATTCTCTATCCTCTTGATCCAGCGTTGTTAGATTATAGCTGTTTAAAAAGGTCTCCATAGTGAAAGAATCATCAGTTATATTACTAGCGTACAATGATTCATAAAATTGTTTAAATCGATTGTTAATTTCTGTAGGAGATAATAAATAAGCCCCGGATTTTGATTTGATTCGATGGATTGTACGGTCACTTCCCAGCTTTCGTAGCTGTCTAGATAACAGTTTGTGTGGCTTATCACCAAATTCGAAGTATTTTTGTTTCATAAACATTAAAGATCTTGAAAACTTTTCAGATATAATCTGATTATATTGTTATGTAAGATTTAATATTTTCTTGTGCAGTTCTAAAGAAGGTTTTGT